TACACAACTGTTCATATTATTACCTCTAATTTAGTTATCCTTTCTAGTGGGGCATAAATTACATTTTATATGCCACATTGGAGGCCTCTTTTTCTCCCTTTTTCCCTCCCTCCCTTTCCTTCCTTCCTTCCTTCTGCAATGATAAACTTGATTCCACTTTTTAGAAAGTATATATTTTCATCCTTATGGAGTTTATTCCCTCACAAATAAGGAAAACAAGCAGGTAAAAAGATTTTTTAAAATCTTTGATTTTTACACATAAAGGGTCCCTAGTTTCTCTTCTTTCCCTTCAACTGACCCATTGTCAGCTTTTTCCTTTAATTGCTGTGGCCAAATTTCTGTGGTCCTAGGAAACAATTCCCTTGGCCAAATATACTCAGGATGGCAATCCAGGTCTCCACAGCAACATTTAGGTAACTTTTCTTTGCTGCCAATTAGCTCCCTTTTCCCCTATGGAGGTATAAAACCTGACTTTTTATACCAAGTGATGATAACATCAATGAGCTCGGCATTTTGTGATTCTCTGTTTCAACATTAGTCCAGGTAGGTTAGACGGATAGAAACTGGACTGATAGAGATCAGAACTTTAAGTGGAAACACACAGAGCAGTGAGAGGGAGAATTTAATCAAACAGGAGTGATGAACTAACTGTTACTCAACAGGAAAATTGCAGCAGATTAACTAACGACCGAAATATAGAAGGTAACAGAATGAGTGGAGTCAAGTCATGATTTCATGTTCAGTATTGGAAAGCTTATTCCAGTGATATTTGCACAGATGTGTTGTGTGCAAAGAATAAAGTCAGAGTGGAAGATTTGGGTCCAGTGCAAGTAAAATGTGAAGCATTTTAGACAATGCTAAGAAACTAGTTTTGGTATGTTATAGTTTCCAGAACCACAGACAGTACACAAAGAGAATCACAGCAGAAGAAACACGGTGTAGTGGAAATAAGCTGGATTGAGGAAGCCAAAAGTCAAACACATTCTGGATTTGCCACCAATTTGTTCTGTAGCTTTGGCAGAGTCATTTATCCTCCTTGTACCTTGGTTTTCTCAACTCTAAAATGAAAGAATTTTACAATCACTAACAAAGTTTCATTCAGGCCGTAACAACTGACTTCTATGAGGCTTGCTGTATTGTTGATAGCATAATAACAATTTTGGGAGCCTGAAACTCCAGTGTCCATTCCTGTCCATCTTTCTCATATTTTGAGTGGTATCCTGAGCTCTTTCTATCCATCTTTATCTGAGTGACTTCAAACATTGATCTACTTTAAAAAAAAACAAAAAAAAAAAAAACTAGAATTATCATCCTTATTTGGATTGGTGATAAGCTCACATGACTTTAATTCATTTCCTGTTTATGTTGGTCAGCACAGGGATGAGCAAACTGAGGAGAGGAGAGAGTAAGTTGATCGGTAGGGATCTCTGAAATATTTTTCTTTTCTTACATTCTAGGCTTTGTGGTAGGAGTGCAGGCAGAGGTTGCTGGTCTGTGTTCAACACAATTATGAGAGTCAGAACACTATAAAGGCAGACTGAGATTTAGTTGCTTATCACAACTAATAATGTATTTTCCTTTTGTAGGAGTGAACTAAATGGAGAGCTTAAATCTGTCTTTATGAAAAAGATCAGATTCAAACAACTATTCAACCCTGTTTAAAAAACACATTCAGTAGGGACTAATACAAAGTGTGGTACCTAAAGACTTTAAGTTTTAAATAGAGATAGGACGCGAAAGACTGGCTAGAGGAAAGTAGTGCCAACAGTGAGTGGACAAACTTGTTTTCCAAATTTTTAGCAACACTAGGAATTATCGAATATAAATCTTTGCTAACCTTATATATAAAAATCAAAAAGTATTGTTTTAAAGATCAAACAAAAGTCTTATGTAAAAATTAAAAAGGTTTTAGGTGTGAGTGGAAATTGGAGACTTTGACAGAGTAACTTACAGTTTCTAGGGGAGCAATTTAGAATTTAAACATTCACTTAAATAAGTTGCTTTAGTGGGAAGTTTGCTGTTGATAATCACTGTGAAAGAAACTTTATTCCAAGCTGAGTTGCCCTTTATAAATGTAAATGCTATTTATACTATTATCATGCAAAAGTCTAAAAAGGATGATTCGAAGACATGTTGAAGGAACGTGATTTACAATGATGGGAAATTCCATAGTGTTCTTTGTTAGATCACTCTTAGAACACTATTAGTATGAAGATTTTCAGTTTGGTTACCATAGTATAAACAAAATTTGTTTTCATTTAGTGTAAAGAGGACTTCATTAAGAAAGGAATTAGAGTGGGTACTGAGGAAAATAGGAAGAATTAGATATAATGAGTACAAGGGCAGGTAGGCCACTGAAGAATGTGGAGTGAAGACATGAGCTGAAGTGCATGCATACGTGTGTGTGTGTGAAGAGTAAATGCCTTTTGGGAACTTGTCCAGCAAAAAAAAATAGTATAGCTTAGAGTATAAGGTGTAGGGAGCAGTGAAGTAACAAAGTTAGTGAATATTTGGGGAGTAGCTTTGATTCTTAATTTGAGAGTTACATTTTGATAATATATTTGGATGCTCTGAAGACACTGCTTGTGTAATTTTCTGAAAACGTTTATTGTAAGATTAAAATTGATATGTGCTCACTGAAAAAATGTAAGATAGTAAGAGCACAAAGTAAAACATAAAAGTTCTCTTTTCCTTCATTGCTTTCTCAATCCCAGCCCTTTTAGGTCATTATTAACAGGCTTTTGTGTATCAATTTAGACATTTTCTACCTACTTTTTATTTTATTTGACTAATTTTATTTTTAAGCCCAGATGGAATGATATAGTGCAGGCAACTGACAACCTCTCCTCCATCCTAAGTACATTTAGATCTACCTCAGTGTTATAAATGGCTGCATAGTATTGCATGGAAATGATCTAAGATAAGTCTTTTAACTAGCTTCCTATTCTATGCATTGAAGTTATTGTCAGGATTTTGCTCTTAGAACAATGTTTTAGCAAATAAAGCAAATGAATGCTACTTCTTTGTTCACTTAATTTGTATGCACACATAGGTATATTCAGGAGTTCCCCTCCCTACCCGAAATGTAGAACTGAAACAAAGTATATGATGACATAAAAATTCAGAAGGTATTTCCAAATTGGCAAATGTTTTCTCAGTTTACATTCTCAGTTATGAGACAGCCTATTTTTCCATTTCCTACCAAGCTCTGACTTTTCTCAAATGTTTACATATCTGCCAAACTGATGAAACAACTGGTATCTTGCTATTTTAGTATGTGTTTATTATGAATGAGGTTAAATAGCTCATTTAAAGGTACACAGAGACTTTAACAGGCAGACTTTAAAGTAGAAAGAAAATTTCTAAATTTTCTGATATTTTTACTCTTTCTTGTTCTGTAGGGCTGAGGGCCCCACAGGGTCGTGCGGTGAGCCTTATGCTGTGCTGAGGCGCAGGATCTGAGAAATAAAGAGACAGGACACAGAAGTACAAAGAAAATGCAGCTGGGCTTGGGGGGCCACACCACCTATGAGTGGAGTCAGGCCAGGCCCTGAATGTCCAGAAGCATGAGTGTTTATTGTGTATAGGTTAGGGGGCAGGGCAGTGAGTGAAATCATCTTTAAGGATAGTGATAGGGTCATGAGCAATAAAACATGGGGTCCACCCCCATTAGGTCACCTAGGCCAGGAGGTGGACAGTGCGCAGCAAGGGGACCATTCCCATGAAGGCAAGGGCCGTGTGCAGTAAGGACTCCAACACATTAAGTCACCGAGGCTTGAAGGTGGGCCGTGCACAGTGAAGAGGGTGCAGTGTGCAATACTTCTATCTATGGGCAAACTACTTCTAAGATTTATAGGAGGATGCTTTAAGTCACATAGCAGTGACAGAGCTGTCAAGGTTACCGCCACCTTCTGGCAGCTTCCTATGGGTTCTATGGGAAGATGCTTTTCAAGCAGCACAGTAGCAAGAGTTGGTAAAGTTCACAGTCACCAAGGTGGATTGCCGTTCTGAGGGCAGCCTTCCACAAGAACTGGAGCAAGGTCCTACACCTCCTTTATCAGGAGGAGTGGCTCTTGCCCAAGCCTGCCATACAGCAGGTATCTTTACGATACTGAACCCTGCCGCCTGGGCCATGGATTCTTGTCCTGGTATAATTGTTTTTCCCTTAAATCATGCTCTGCACTGTCTGCTCTAGGCATTCCTCCAATTACAAGCTGCTTATTCCTTAATTCATGCTCTGTGCTGTGTCCACTCTAGGCATTCCTCTGATTATGAACTAAGATATAATTATAGGTATATATGTAGGGAAATATTCTTTAGGCACTCATACTATCAACTATTATATGATTATATAGAGAGGATTATATAAAGGGATTCTTCAAGCCCTATTTCTATAAACTAATATATGATTATGTAAAGGATTATATAAAAGGAAATAGCTAAGTAGTAACACTATAAAGTGAGATATTCTTCAAGCCTTAACTGTGCCAAGGTTCTGCTTAGCTCTGATTCCTGGGTGCCTATATGGGGGGTTACCCATATTGTTCCCCTTATTTAAGGTTTACAACTCATCACTTCCAGTCTGGTTGCCTTTTTTAATGTCTCACGTTCTTTCCTCCCTTAGGAAATAATCTCTCTTAGTCAGAATCTCCTTAACAACACCCATAATTGCATCACTTTTTCTAACACTCATGGTGAATGCCATGATCTGGCATCCGGTACTCCTATAGTTTTGTCTTCTTCTGGATAACTCACCTTATCTTCCCAAAATATTCTGTGCAATGTATTTTTTTTGGTGACAAAATATACATTAGAGGAATATGAGTTGCTTTGTAACCGGAATTGTTTCCAAATGCATATGTTAGCCCTTATATAGTTTTCTAACAACATTTGAATTACTTGTGATTTTTGCCAACATCAGTGCTTTTTGTCCTAAATCAAAGTTTCTCCTTACTCTCCTCTTTCAGGCAGCATGAAAGTTATCATAGCTGACAGAGGCAATGGATGAAGCCAATCACTCCGTGGTCTCTGAGTTTGTGTTCCTGGGACTGTCTGATTCCTGGAAGATCCACCTCCTCCTCTTCCTCTTTTCCTCAGTGTTCTATGTGTCAATCCTGATGGGAAACCTGCTCATGGTGCTAACTGTGACCTCTGACCCTCGTTTACAGTCCCCTGTGTACTTCCTGCTGGCCAACCTTTCCATCATCGATTTGGTATTTTGCTCCTCCACAGCTCCCAAGATGATTTATGACCTTTTCAGGAAGCACAAAACCATCTCTTTTGGGAGCTGTGTAGCTCAGATCTTCTTTATCCACTCAGCAGGGGGCACTGAGATGGTGCTGCTCATAGCCATGGCTTTTGACCGATATGTGGCTATATGTAAGCCTCTCCACTACCTGACTGTCATGAACCCACAAAGGTGCATTTTGTTTTTAGTCATTTCCTGGATTATAGGTATTATTCACTCAGTGATTTAGTTGGCTTTTGTTGCAGACCTGCCTTTCTGTGGCCCTAATAAATTAGATAGTTTCTTTTGTGATTTTCCTCGATTTATCAAACTGGCTTGCATAGAGACCTACACATTGGGATTCATGGTTACTGCCAATAGTGGACCTATTTCTCTGGCTTCCTTTTTAATTCTCATAATCTCTTACATCTTTATTTTGGTGACTGTTCAGAAAAAATCTTCACGTGGTATATTCAAGGCTCTCTCTATGCTGTCAGCTCATGTCATTGTGGTGATTTTGTGCTTTGGGCCATTAATCTTTTTCTATATTTTTCCATTTCCCACATCACATCTGGACAAATTTCTTGCCATCTTTGATGCAGTTATCACTCCTGTTTTGAATCCAGTCATCTATACTTTTAGGAATAAAGAGATGAAGGTGGCAATGAGAAGACTATGCTCTCCATTGGTGAATTACAGTAAAGTCTCTTAATTATATTTAGAATATACAAAAAGGCAAATTAAACCAGGATTTTAGACAGATATGTGCTAAGTAAGCTATGTTTAACTAGAATATCACCTTCTACTAATATTTGTTGTGTTGTCTTTTTTTTTTTCCCAAATTGAATCGTGATACCAATCTCTTGACTACTTATATAAGAGATTTAAAAATTAAAGAGTGTGGCTACTTTATCTCACCAACATCTTACTATATATAGGCAAAAATTAACCCACGTGTTAAGGTAAGAACCTGATGGGAAGTGATTGGATTATGGGAACAGCCTGGTTTCCCCCTTGCTGTTCTCGTGATAGTGAGTGAGTCTCACGGGATCTGATGGTTTTATAAGCTACTGGCGTTTCTCTTGCTTGCATTTACTCCTTCCGGCCGCCTCATGAAGGAAATGCTTGCTTCCCCTTTGCCTTCCACCGTGATTGTAAGTTTCCTGAGGCCTCGCCAGCCATGTAGAACTGTGAGCCAATTAAATATCTTTCCTTTATAAATTATCCAGTCATGGGTATTTCTTTACAGCAGTGTAGAACGAACTAAACAGCAGGTAAACCAGAATAGAGTCACTTGTGCTAAGTGCCATGTTAATCAACTGAACTTCAAAATGAGCCATTTTTAAAACCCACCCCCCAAAACCCACATTACAGTTAGCCTGAGTCAGTAAGATATGAAAGTCCCTTCTGTTTTAAGTTTTTAAGGGAAGTATCTTTGAAAAGGCCAATCCATTTTTTGTCTCTGATTGTTTTCTTCAGCCTTTTTCTGCCTACAAGGTCAAGCTCCTCTGCTCAGCAAATTGGGAACACTTGTTCTATTTGATAGACTGAAGTATTGCCCAATTATAGAATCACTAATAAAAGGCAATTCGATCTTAAAGTTGTAACTTTGTAATTTTGACAGTTGTTAACTAGTTGTTTGGGGAAAAAAATGAAATTTAAGATAAAAATGTAGCATTTGTAAGAAGCAGCTTTCACTCCTAGAAAAGAGGAAATAAAGGGAAAAGGTTAGAACTACTAAGACTTAAAGAAAAAATATTAAAGCTTGAAGGAAGAACCTGTGGAGATGAAACTCAAATACCTGAGTGGGGCGGATGCTGCCTGGCTGGTGCTAGTGTCTCTGAGCTCAGAGGAGGGCCTATGGTTTGGAACACACCCTTGAGGAAGAGGCATCTGTGGCTGGCGCAGGTGTTCCTGAGGAGAGTGTAATAAGCAGAGCTCCTGTAGCATCGTAAAAACTAACTGGATTCAGCTGCTGCCTTGGAAAACAACCAAAGTTGCTGAGTTGATGAGTGTGTTCGGCTAATGCTGATAGGCACAGCAAGCAGAGAGAGGGCAAACAGGAAGAAGCAAGTCCCTTTTTCCATACCCAGTCTTGCAACTTCCCTCTAGTATCCCCAATGGTGAGTCCAAGCAAGGAAAAGCTAAAAAGAAAAAGTTGACAGAGCCCCAGCTCCTGCATCGTACAGAGTGTAGACAGATATTTTGGCACTGAAAGCACATGCAGTTACTTAGTAGGATCGTAGAGTTTTTGAACTTTATAATTTCAGTCCTTCCTCATTTTAGAAAATCTCACCTACTAGAAAAGAAAATAATTAGCCCAAAATGATAAAATATGAAAGATCCAAATCTAGAACCTAGAACCCAGGCTGACAGATTCCTGGTCTTCTGTTTTCTATGATTTTAGATCACATTTCCTTAATTGATAAATCTGGTATTCTGTTGGACTGTTAATGTTTCACTTACATAAGATATTCACCTAGTATCTTGAGTGACTGTCAGAGTTTCAACAAATGTTCAGACATAATTTTTCACCTAATCTATTCAGTCCTAATTTACATTTCTTTCTCTAATCCTTTGGGTTGTTTTAAAATAAGGTTTTTATTTTGGAATAATTTTACTATTACAGAAAAGTTACAGAGCTAGTCCAGACAGTGTCCATATGCCCCTTACCAAGTTGCAGTTTCCCCTAATGTTATTACCTTACATTTCCATGGTACATTTTCCAAAACTGAGAAATTATCACTGTATAGTACGTTACTATGAACTATAGATTTTATTCAAATTTCACTGATTTTTTCCATTAATGTCTTATGTTTCAGAATCCAATCCTGGATGTCACATTACATTATGTCTCTTTTATTTTTAAAGTTTTTTAAAATATTCTCTGAGATTTGTGACAATTTCTCAGTCTTACCTTGCTTTTCATGGTGTCACAGCTTCGAGGAATATTGGTGAGATATTTTGTAGAATGTCCTTCAATTTGAGTTTGTCTGAAATTTTTTATTATAGTTATACATGGGTTCTGTATTTTTGAAAAGAATACCCAAAAGATGAAAAGATCTAATCACATGATATTAGGGACTACATAATATCCACACAGTATCACTAGTGATGTTAAATTTGCTCATGGTTTATTATTTGATCTTGATAAAACAGAAGTGACTTCTTAGATGTTACATATGTCATCTGCATTCTTTCTACTTAAGCTCCGCCAAGTTATCTATAGGATTGATGATGGTTTGTTATAATTTGTGAATATATAACAGATTTTTCTTGGGGATATGATTGGGGTATAGATTTTCTTGGCATATAGATTTTCCTTGGGGTTTATTTCAAATCCATCCCACCATGGTTGGATTGTAAAGGCAAGCTGTGTCATGATTGCTCCATGTCGTCTCTCTTGATCTTTCTTTGATTCAGTTACTTTTTCCTTCTATACAGATGGAATCCTTGGCCTCTCTTTTTGAGTTTCCTAGTCTTATGACTGCAAAACTGATGTTCGTGTTTCAAATCTCTAGTTATGGATAGTTCCCTAGGAGTTCTCACTGGAGTGTCTTTGGCAGAATAACTACCTTAGCCAATTTCTAGTGCCGCTATATTTCACCCTCTGGCCTAATTCTGTATGAGTGGGCATTTGAATATTTTGTCATGAATCTTTGACGTGTAATAAGCGAAGGAGAAATAATTGCTAGCATAGCAACATGGATGAATTAATGACTGCTCTTTAAACCCAAAGCCTAGGGTCCAGGACTATGGAGAAGAACATGGTCTTTGTGCCTCCCTCTTGGATATTATATCTAGGGTGGGAAATTTTAATTTGGATCAGTCGTTTGCTTTATTTGTATTTTTTCTATGCCATGAAACAGTGATTAATAAAATAATGCTGACTAGTTCAAAGGGCTGATGCCTCATAATGCTTTAAAAGATATGATCATTGTCATTGTTGATCTTCAGGGATACAATGTAGAGGGTGTCCATGGCAGTGTTGGTTTTAGCATAGGGAAGGTATAATCTTCAAAATATTAAACTGCGTTGATAAGAACAGATGCTGGCCAGAGTTGGAACAAGATCCTGGAGACTCCTGCTGTTCCAGGAATTAACTTTTAGTAGCCGATTCATAAGGAGTTCTGGGGAAGCAGATGGAACCTCAAAAGGTTGTGACAGTAGCTATATTCTAACCAATGTGCAAGTATTTAAAATTTTTAACAACTGGTATTACACTGGTGTCTTCTAGGTAAATATTAACAATATTGTTATGTCAGGGTTGGAAAAATTAAAAGTAAGGTCCAATACTTACATAATCCAATCAGCAACCCTGAAAATCTTGGGGTGATCTGAGTACTCAAAGGCAGAAAGCGGTGCATAGCCATCATGGAATGCTCTGCAGTATTTAGAAGTGATATGCTAGATGTACATATAGCAACATGTACTAAGTGGAAAAAAATAGAGTTAGATGTAGAATACTATTTTATATGTATACATATACAAACAATCCTATATGTTTCATAATAACACACAAAATGGCAAGACACACTTAAAAACACCAGAATGATGGTCTTTGAGAGAAAGGGATTGGGAATGGGGAATGGAAATTAAAGGGGATAAGCAAGTAAAACAAGAGTGCTAGTTGTAAGCCAACGATCACTGCTTGTTGGTCAATTGATAAACGCTTGCTATAAACCAATCGTTAAGCACCATGGACAGACACATATGATTATACCGAAAGTTGTAAAACCACACAAGTCCTGTTGCTTCCTCTTAATATTTTGAAATCAACCCTTGTTCATATTATTCCTGCTTCCTAATGACAGACACAGTAAAAATAATAGAATTACTTCAACAACTGAATTATTAAAGTCAATGAATGTAAGTTAAGCTTCTTTGATTACAGGAAACTGGAAAAGTTGCTTTGAAAAAACAATGTGAATTAGATAAAGCCTATATCTTCAAAGTGCTTGGTATAATATATTAAATTTATAACTCATAAAAGTCACATTATGAAATATTAAAAACATTTTGTACTTTTACTTGCTTAGTTTATTCATGTATAGATGAAATTGATATTTATGAGGATTCTATATGATTTTTATGAATCTCTTAGAAAATGGATATTATTAGATTATCTAGAGACACTTTTATTTATCATGATAGGATTTAAATTGTCAAAGATTGTGTCCTCTGCAGGGACATGGATGGAGCTGGAGGCCATTATCTTTAGCAAACTAACTCAGGAATAGAAAACCAAAAACCACATGTTCTCACTTCTAAGTGTGAGCTAAATGATAACACATGGAGACATAGAGGGAAGCAACACACACTGGAGCTTATGGGAGGGTAGAGGGGGGTGGGAGGAGGAAGAGGGTCAGGAAAAATAACTAACAGGTACTAGGCTTAATACCTGGACGATTAAATCTGCACAACAAACCCACATGACACACATTTACCTGTGTAACAAATCTGCACATGTGCCCTGACCTTAAAATAAAACTTAGAAAAATAATCCAGAAAAATATAAAGTTGTAGAGATTTATTTTTCTTAAAGGTTCCAGGGTCATCCCTCTCTCCTATGACTCATTATCAACGTTTCTCCTTTGTTGCTTTGAATATATTTCTAGGAGACAATTTCTTGGCTCTTTGACTTGAGAGTTGCAATCCCAGGTCACTATAGCTTTACTTGGTCACTGTCCTCCAGTGCAATCAATTAGCCAT